GAGGACATCCTCAGGAAGACCGACAAGAAGGGCATCATCAATTTGATTGGACCCTGTAAGATCACAGAAATGTCAGATATGCGGGACGGGCTCGTGCATTGCAAATGCCAGGGACGTCCCATGTCGGTACGAATCGCAGATGTCAGGAAGGCGCTGTACGTGGAGTTTCTACATTTTGCGAGCAGCCAAGACAGCAGCATCACGGGCATCAGCACAGTCATGACGCAGGTGACCAAGTTCGCAGACTCTTGTTCAAGGGCAGTGCTACGTTTTGGCTGGTGTGTGTCTTCAGCAGGAAGTTGGGAGCTCACGCGCAGCACTACGCAGTATCCCAGCTTGTGGAGCGCCATCGTTCATCTAGCACTTTTGGCAGGAGTACGGCATTGTCTTGGAGCAAGGATTGGCTGTGGTATGCATCATCTTCAGAATCTACCAGGGATGCCTAGCTCATTCTTGATATGGTGGTATAAACATTCACCAGTTCGCCATTACACAATTCAGTATGGCAGCACTTATGTGGATTCGAAGCGAATCCTTTGCGAGGACGAGAGACCTGAAGCATACTGGTGGAAGATATCCTTCATACAGCTCTTCTTCAGACAACGACAGCGAGATGATAATGATGGCGATCAGATAGAAGTGTCAGCAGACATGGACATGAGTCCAGCACCTCCGGCGCCACCTCAACCATCTCGAGCACCTGGCGCCCCACCGGCTGTTCCTCCACCTGAAGAAGAAGTCACACCACTACGGAAAAGGAGGAAACATGACGGTGTACATGACGATGGTCGAGCGCACAAGTACCGCATGCTACCCCATGAAGATGAGGAAAAGGATCAAGCACCACCTGCAGCCAAGCATCAGCGATCAGATCCAGCAGTTGAGCGAGATGAAGGACCCATCTTGGATCCTCCACCCTATGAGTCTCCCGGCGCAGGCGTAGCAACATCTTCATCGGGCGCAGCAGCATCGACGGCAGCACCGACCGCACCAGCAGCGCGACCTACCTCACCTACAACGACCGATGAGATCAGCGACGAAGGTTTCGAGATTCCCGGCTCGGGTATTGACGATCGTGAACCACCACAGACAAATGCTGATGATGGAGGCTGGCGCGTTGCGGAGGGCGACGACCTCTACTGCGACAACCATGGCAATAAGATCGCGCTACCCACCACGATGGACGAATTCAAGACATACATCATGAGCAGGAAGCCGGAAACCTTGCTCAGGCAAAAGGGCGAGAAGAACAACTTTGACCAGTTCGAGTTCGAGTACTTCGAGGCACCGGTACAGCAGACCAGGCACGACCTGACGCTGACGGACGATGTGACGTTCCACTTCGAGCGCGAGGAACCCGTGGCGGAGTTTGCTTTACCTTGGTGTATTGCCAACTTGGAGTTTCGAACGAAGCAGCGCATTCCAGAAGGATATGATTTGGTATATTTCCTACCGAAGGCGAAGCTCAGCAGCCAGGTTATCAAGCGAGACCTTCGCAACCTCAGTGCCGATGATCAGCGGCGACATCATGATAAGGTCATCAGATCCATGAAGAGAGAATTGCAGCAGTGGTTGGAGCTCGAGAGCGTCGGTATCATGCGCAAGCGGGAATCAACCAACCTTGTAGACGGCGCTTGGGTCTTCAAGTGGAAGATCACGGTCATCGATGGCAAGGAGCAGCGCGAGGTCAAGGGCAGATGGGCGTTGAGGGGCTTCAAGGACAGGCATTCACAGGTTGAGACCTTCAGCGGAACCGCGGCCCGGTACAGCACGCGAGTGGTGAACAGCCACGCATGCCAGAATGAATATGATCTGTGGGCGTTGGATATCTCAGGAGCTTTCCTCAAGGGCCTTACGTTCGACGAGATCAATCAGATGACGACGGACGGTTTAATCAGGCAAGTTCAGCTTATTGTGGATGCCAAGACCGCTTCCGTTCTGAGGACGTTCAAGGGCTGGGAGAACTTCGATCATGAGAAACATTGCCTACGGATCTTGCGACCGATTTGGGGATTGAAAGACGCACCGAGATTGTTCACTTTAAAGTTGGCACAGGCCATGAGCGCGACACATCATATCCCAAGTAAGACTGACAACAAGATGTACATGAGGCATGATAAACAGAACAAGTGTATTTCATTGGTTTGCGGACACCTGGGTGATTTGAAAGGATCGTCAACGACTTCAGCGCGAGAAGAGTTGTGGAGGGCACTGGAAAAGGCATTTGGTAAGTGCAGCAAGCACATGAACAAGTTCACGTACTTAGGAGTTGAACATGAGCAGACAACGGATAAGAAGTCAATCGACACGCACCAGAAGGGCTACATCATGGAGTTGCATATGTTACCCTTGCCGGCTCATTCAGTTCATCGGCCAGACGACGATCTCAGTATTGAATTACACACTCCGGCAAGAAGTCTTCTGGGCGCGCTATCATGGGTAACACAATCGAGGCCAGAGGTTCAAGTTTTCGTGGGACTGTGTCAGAGGAACGCCAAGCAGCTCAAACATCGACATGCACAGGTGTTGAATTTGAGCCTTAAGTGGATACAGACACACCACGCAGGAGTACGATATTCACAAATGGTGGGAGACTCTGCGTTGTATTGCATCGTGGACTGTTTGGCACTTCGTGCAGATATTATGGGACTTTGCCAGCACGCCGGCTCGAGCATCGGAGGCAAGCTACACATGTTCGTGACGACCAGCAAGAAGCAGTCGCGAGTCAATAGGAACACGTTCAGTGCAGAAGCTGGAGCAGTTGGAGACGCAATTTCTATGTGTATTGCATTGGCAGGCTTGTTACATGAGATTGATAGGGGCACACAGTCAGCCATTCAGTTAGCGACGCGTGCAGAACGCGGAGACTTCAGCAGAAAGATAGTAGTGTTCACCGACAGCGAGTCATTCTTCAAGGCATGTACAGCCACTGAGGTTCAACTACCGACAGAGAGACATCTAGCATACACAGTGATGAAAGTATGAGAATGGTTGGATCGTGGCATTGTATCAGAGTTAATTTGGATAGACACGAGAGATATGTTATGTGACGGATTTACAAAAGGTAGTATCAGCAGATTTGACGTTATGAACGCACTCAATCAAGGCGAGTGGAAACCTCAACATGAACCCAAGCGTTGGAGTTCGAAATCCCACACGCCGACTGAATTAAGACGTTAGTTACTTTGTATGAGTGCAAGAGTCCAACCATAAAGTTCGATTTCCACGCGTGGTTCATCATATTGTTGAAGTCCGAGTACCACGAGTGGTTCATTCACTACATGAAGTACGACTACGTTAGGCCAGCTTGTTGTCATCGTTTCATCTTCCCGCTCACCGCCGCCATCGCATCGCCGCTGTAAAGTATTGTTGGTGATATGTGCTAATTAAGTTCCTCCTCCTCCTTCTTTAGTTGCCGTCAGCCAATGCGTTTCACAGAGCCTGTATTTCATACAGTTTTAAGTCATCCCGAGAGTAAGTTGTTACATGCATCTCTCGGGGCCTCCTGTAGATCCTCAAGGCCCCGCACGTATGTTGCACGTGAGCCACGCCGTGCCGGCATTGTGGCTCAAGACGCGTCATAGCTAGAGTACTGTACTTGACATTGTACGGAAAAGCTCTTCATTGCATCGCCGGCTGCCGCCGCTGTCATCACGGGAAAGGGACTCTATCACGTGCCACTGCGCGCCTCCTCCTCCTCCTCCTCCTCCTCCTCCTCCTCTTCCTCCCCCTCCCCCTCCTCCCCCTCCGCTGGGCATTAAGAGTTTGTTTGTATTTGGTACGAGCGTGTATTGTTTGGGGCCCACGCTGCAAACGCAGGTTCGGAGGGCGTCGAAATCACGCTGGCTCCGGGGAGGTCCAGCGGAGGGGTGTCCCGCAGGGACCACCATGAGACCTCGCCGTTCCTGGGGGGCTGCAATCTGCGAAACGGTCGCCACTTTCATGGGCTCCTGTGAGGTCCAGCGGGGTGTGTGTCCCACGCTGATTTCCATGAGACGTCGCCGTCCCCTGGGGGGCTGCGATCTGCGAAACGGTCGCCACTTTCGTGGGCTCCTGGGAGGTCCAAAACTGTCGCCACCTTCGTGGGCTCCTGTGAGGTCCAGCGGGGGTGGGGTCCCACGCAGGTTTCCATCAGACCTCGCCGTCCTTGGGGGGCTGCGATCTGCGAAACTGTCGCCACTTTCGTGGGCCCCTGGGAGGTCCAGCGGAGGGGTGCTCAACACAACGGGGACCACCATGAGACCTCGCCCTCTGGGGGGCTGCGATTTGCAAAACTGTCGACACACTCGTGGGCTCGAGGTCTCCTGGGACCTCGCCGTCCTTGGGGGATGCGATCTGCGAAATTGTCGCCACGATTGTGGGCTCCAATCGCGGGAGCTCCCATAGCGCACGATGCTGTCCCGTGACATAGCGCGCTGGGCTGTTTGATCGCAGATCGCAGCGGGATGGGGCGCCACAAAGCGCATGGCGTTGTTATTTGCCCATGCCGCATCGACTTTTCAGTTGACTCGTGTCCGTCGTGCACCTGGGCACTCGTAGCGCTTAGCGCAGGATGTTGTTCTGTCATAGCGCGCATGGCGCTGTTCTGCAATGGAAGCCTAGCGCGATGTATTGTTACTCCCACGAAGCATGTCTCCAGTTCCCTCTTCATCCGTATGTTTCCACGCCCCTTGTGGTCGCCCTCCTGCCAACGATTTGACTCTAAGGAGTGATGCCGCGAATGTGAAACCTTAGAGTCTGACCCAACGTTTTGTGGCGAAGCGTTCAAGAACACGGCGGACCTCTCAGCGTTTGTTTTCACAATGTGCAGTCTGATGTATAGTCGCCTCATATGTAGAAAAGGCCGCGTACACCCCCCGATAGTTCCTCGGGGTCGTCGCCTCTCTCACTCTCCTTTCCTCTCCTTATTTTTTTCTCTCTCCCTCTCTCTCTCGCTCTTTCTCTTTCTCTGCCTCCCTCTGGGGATACTTGTGCTTGCCCGTCGCGTCCTGCTCCTCCAGGCAGCGCCGTGGGCTCGGCGGTGCAGATCGCCGTCTTCGTGATCCCGCTGTGCGTCGTGCTGGGCTGGTGGGGAGGGCGGGCTCCGCCGGCGCACGGGGAGGGCGCGGGCGCGGCACTGAGCGAGGCTGAGGAGAGAGCTGTTGCGAAGGTCCTCCTCCTCCTCCTCCCCTCCTCCTCCTCCTCCTCCTCCTCCTCCTCCTCCTCCGTCCTCCTCCTCCTCCTCCCCTCCACTCCTCCTCCTCCTCCTCCTCCTCCTCCTCCTCCTCCTCCTCCTCCTCCTCCTCCTCCTCCTCCTCCTCCTCCTCCTCCTCCTCCTCCTCCTCCTCCTCCTCCTCCTCCTCCTCCTCCTCCTCCTCCTCCTCCTCCTCCTCCTCCTCCTCCTCCTCCTCCTCTCCTCCTCCTCCTCCTCTTCCTCCTCCCCTCCTCCTCCTCCTCCTCCCCTCCTCCCCCTCCTCCTCCTCCTCCTTTTCCTCCTCCTCCTCCTCCTCCTCCTCCTCCTCCTCCTCCTCCTCCTCTTCCGTGCTCTGCCCACATCGTTGGCCGCCCTCGGTCCCGAACCCGTGCGCTCGTCGGTTCCCTCGGGCACTGCCCGAGGGCGGAAGGCAGCAGCGCTGGCAGGCGTCGGGCGCTGGAGCACGGCGGCGGGTTTCCGGGGGGGGGGTGGCGAGATCAGGGAGTCTTGGCCCCAGTGGTTCGCGTCGTTTCAAGAGATTCGGACCCAGTGCGGGCGTTCACGATGAAGCGCCGCCACTTACCAAACATCGGGCGTCGTCGAGAGAGCCGCGCTATCGGAAAGCCGCGACTGGTCGAGGTCGAACGGTGCATGCGGCGACTGAAGCTGCATGGCCAGTCGCGAGGACACGAGTCCACCGTATTCGAGTCCAGCGTGAGCGGGCCAGTTCTGGGGTGGCCTCGTCGTGCAGTGCAGGTCTTGGCCGTGCCGGAAGTCCTCCAGCAGAGTCGCGCCAGAGAGGGAGAAGGTCTCCACCCGTGCACGGCCGAGCTCTCGGACCGACCCGCTCTGCTTCCTCAGCGCGACAGCGGGCCGTCTCCTCGCTGCCGCTGGCCGCGTGCTCTTCCCGGGGCCCTTCGGTGGCGGGAGCGGCGCTCGTCGGTGGCGTCGCCCGCCTCTGCCCATCCTCCCCGTCTGGACTGAAGGCGTCGGTGCAATCGGACGCCTTCCACCCTTCGCCCACCCCCCTCGCAGCTCGTTCCCTTGTTTTTTTAGGCAGGCCGCCGAGTACGCACTCGGCGGCGAGCGCGGGGGGAAGTGAGAAGGAACGGGCCTTCTCAGAAGGCAGGCGGGACTCCTCAGAAGCCCCCGCGCCTCCTGAGGAGGTCTCCCTGTCTCCGAGGGGAAGCTTAGGAAACAGTTCGGCTGGCCGAGGGGCCTCCGAGCCTTCTGAGAAGGCCCACCGGTTCTCACTGCTCCCTGGGCTCGTCGCGGAGTCGCCCATCCACCCTCTCAGCCTGTCCCCTGCTCTTATCAGGAGGGGAAAAACACACAGACACAATTCATCGTCGATCCCCCAGAAAATATGGAAACATATGGGACTTGGGCGGGAAGACAGAAACCCAGAACATATAGGAAAATATGGGGAATCCTTTTATTTGTATGTATTTATTTGTGTGTCCTTGGGCCCCCTGCTCTCAGGCAGGCCGCCGCGCACGCGCACCCGTGGCGCGTCGGAGCCCGGCGGCCGCCGGCGGGCGCCAGGGGCAACACCTCAGGCAGTGGCGAGGCGCTCTTGCTCGCCTTCTGCTCCTTACCACACAATACTCCAGATTTCGTAATGAAGGGAGGGGGGTCTCATTTCGGGGGGGGTCTCTTCCAGGCTATCCTGGAGGGCCTGGGGGGTCTGGGGACGATATTTTGGAGGGTGCTCCCACGGGGGAGGTCTGGAATGGCTTGTCTTGGAGGGTCCAGACCCCCTCCCTTTTATTACGAAATCTGGAGTACTCTGAGAACCTTTTGTGGTTCCCACGCCATGTTCTTTGAACATTTCTGGCGGAGGCGGTCTTGCTTTTTATCACACCGGGTTTTATGTTCCAAGAACATGGTTTTTTGATTTGGGGACATGTTTGGGTTCTAAGAGCACTTCGTGGCAGGGCTATAGGAACGCCAGGGCGGTCGGTCCCTGCTCAAACACCTTTCCGGGCTCGGCGGCCAGTGGCACAGGGAGTTCGGGGCCGCCGTGAGGATGGCGGACCCGAGAGCAGCACTGCCACCAGCTGGAGCTCCTCCTCCGCGATCCTCGTTCGCCCCCCCCCCCCCCGCGCACGGCTCTGGAGCCGCCTCTTCTCTGGGGTCTTCCTCCCCCCAAGCCCCGCTTTTGTTCCCCTCCGGGAGGAGTTTCGGATTGCGGGTGTGCTGCGACCGCGTCGGTTGCAGTAGAAGACTCTGGCCCACCTCGTGCCTGGCCCGTTCAGTTTTGGTGCGAGCCTGGGGCCAGGCCCCCTTGTGATTCCAGAGCGATGCAGTCAACCCGCATAGTAAAGATGAACGGTTTCTCAAGGCCGCCTTTGCATCCTTGCCCATTCTGCCCATTCTTGGCCGCTTTCGCTGGCCGCGCCCTACCCGCAAAGTGTCGACATGGCCTTCCTCCCCCCAAACCCCCTCCGCCTCCAGGAAGAGGTTCGGACTTGCGGATGTTTCGGGGGAGCGAAGAACTCGAGTGCGGCGGAATTTGGATTTGCCGACGTTATTGGACGTGCGCATACTCGATCTTGGCGGTCCAATTTCCGTCGGATGTTCGCAGCGGGAGCTCGCGTCAAATTTCAAGTAGGGCCTCGTCGTTTCCATGATGGCCCCGTCAGGCCAACCCGAGTCCCCCGAACCCGATTGTTACTTCTCCCCGAGCATTTGTGATTGCGCCGGCTACGGTAATTATCGAGGTCCAGCTCGCCCCATTCCTGGACCAGGGCTGGACCGAAACGGTGTCTTTGGTGATCTCGTGGGCCGTCTTCGTCTCGATCTCGTTCTGCGGGAAAGGCAGACTCAAGACAGAACGAAACACGAAAAACACCGTTTAGGTTCAGCCCTGATCGAGGTCTGTCAGAGGAGGAGGAGGAGGAAGAGGAGGAGGAGGAGGAGGAGCATGTGGGAGGAAGGATGAGACTCGAGGGACAGGGCAGGGTAGGGTAGGGAAGGGGGGGAGCTTCGGGGAGGAAGGATGAGATCCGAGGGACAGGGCAGGGTAGGGTACGAAACCTGCTGCGCGAGCATGTGTCGGCGGCGGCACAGAGGGGGGTGATGACTAGGGGGGGGTGGATATCCTGGCGGGGGCCTTGGTATCTCCCCAGATCTCGTGGCGCCTCTTCTGGTTTCGTTACGCCCCTGGCCCCCCCCCGCTGGGCCGCGCACATGCCGCCGGCCATGATTTGCATCCCCCCCTCTTGGACGCCCCCCTCTTGGCCGCCCCAGAAATTCCAGGGAACTCTGGGGGAAGGGGGCGAGCATGTGGGAGGAAGGATGAGATTCGAGGGCCAGGGCAGGGCAGGGCAGGAAACCTGCTGCGTGCAGTGCAGCTGGGGCCTCGGCCCCGCCGCCAGGCGCTTTTTTCCCCGATGCACTGGTGCCTTCTGCGCCCTTTGGCGCTGGGCAAACTAGCCACGGTGGGTCCACGTCGTGTCGACCTGTGGCGACCCCGCCGCCGGCGTTCAGAGTGGAACGCCGCCAGCGACCCAGAATCGGTCGACGTGGAACGATCGGACGGTGCGGGAACGACCGATCGTTCAAGGTTGAACGTTCAAGCTCGCTGAGGGGCAGCGAACGCGATCTGTGTTTCTGGGGCGACGGGGGAGAGGGCAATGCTTTAGTAGGACAAGAGCAAGCCTGAGCAGCCCGATCGCCGGCAAGAGCAAACATGAAATCAGAGCTTCTCGCGAAGGAAGGCTGTAAGGATTGCTGTTGACCGATCAAGCGCGCCGAGCGTACGGGGATCTGCCCTGAAAACAACGCTGCCCCCCCAGCGACCTTCAACGTTCAAGGTCGAACGATCCTCGCGGTGTCGGGAGCCAGCGCTGGGGGTCTGCACGACGCGAGCCTGGCGTACGTGGGCTGCTTCGCGGACCCCCCCTCTCTGTGGACCCCCCCTTTTTAGGCCGACCCGCCAAGGAGAGGGCAATGGAGGGAGGAGTTAAGTCAGACATCGTCCTTCTCAAGGAGAAAAAAAACGCAAGAACAGTAGCAACAAATAGTCAGGTGACATTCTTTTGTGCTCACTTGACTATGTTTTAGTTGTTGTGGACCCCCCTTTCGTTCAACCCGCAAGGAGAGAGCAATGGAGGGAGGATTTAAGTCGGACGTGTCCTTCTCAAGGAGGAAAAAAGCAAGAACAGTAGCAAAACATAGTCAGGTGTCAGTCTTTTGTGCCCATTCGACTAGGTTTGAGTTGTTTTGAGATGTCTTACGTGCTTGTCAAAATCCCCCTGTTTGGAGCACATGCCCGACCTGAAGGGAAGGGAGGAGCGAGGCCACGCGAGAGATTCGGTCAGGAGAGCCCGACGGGCACCGAGTGAGGGGCCCCCCATGTGGGTTCCCAGGGGAAGTCGCGAGGCTGTGGTGTGCACGCCGTGGCCAGGGAGTGGAGTGGGGAGGGGGGAGGGGGAGAAGAACAAGGAGCAGAAGAACAAGGAGGAGAAGAACAAGGAGGAGGTCGAGGAGGAGGAGGAGGAGGACAAGGAGGAGGAGGAGGAGGACGAGGAGGGGAACGGAGAGCGAAGGAGGCCAAGGAGGAGGAGGAAGAGGAGGAGGAGGAGGAGGGTTGCACGCCATCAAGGGAGAGAGAGAGAGAGAGAGAGGGTCTGACCTGCATCGCCCGCCACCATGGGGGAGAGGAGAGCGCAGGCCACCACCGGGGAGAGGAGAGGCTGAGCGCACGCCACCTTGGGAGATCCCAGGCACCCGGGGGGGGGTGCTCATCGGAGCGGACCTCTGTTGTCGTTGCCCGAAGGCTAGGACTGGCCTTAAGTCGGGCCTGTCCCTCTACAGGGGGATTTTGAAAGATAGTCCAAAAATAGTATGGGGACGATTTGTTGGCAATGTTTGAGTATTTTAGGGCATTTATTATTATTATTTTGTATTTGTCGTCCAAAATTCCCCTGTAGGGGGACAGGCCCGACTCAAGACTGGCCTCCGGGCCTCCCCAGAGGGCAGCGACAGGGCCTGGCGGAGGAGGAGGATCTGCACGAACGAAGTGGGCACGGGAAGCACGGGTACGATGCCCAACAGCGGATCTTGTTCCTTCTGAACAGGACTCGCTGTCCACGCCGCCGCGGCCTGTGTCCATTCGAGACAGAGGGCCGCCTGCCCAACAGCGGCCGCTGTTGGTTTGGGACAGCATTTGTTGGGCATTGCACCCATTCTTTCCGTACCCATTTCGGGCGTCCAAAGAGGACAATGAGACCCGGATCGAGTACCCATCGGTCGTTGAAACTAGGTCTTTTGGGGTTCCCACGTTGCAATGTACTTTTTTGCGCCTTCCTACGGTGAGCGGCTTGAATAAGGAACACCTACTTTTCAAAAGGGGCTCGGTCGTTCCTTAGGTTTGCATGCGTTATTTGCAGTTCCTTATGCGTTATTTGTTAGTTATCGTTCCTTATGCGTTATTCCTTGGGATAAAGGTGCTTCGTTCCTTATTTATCGTTCCTTAGGTCAGGCCGATGACTGTACTTCAACGATCGAGTGGCTTCCCTCCTCTTCCCTCCTCTGCAGGCGGCGGGCGGAGCCCCAATCGACTTCAGCGCCTTCCCACTTCACGTTCCTGGTTGCCTACTTACTTCTCCCGACCGATGGGTATATGGTTTTATTTTGACGATTCTGCCCTCGGGGGCCTTCCGGGGCTCCCAATCTTGGGCACCAGAGCGAGGGTGAGCAGGAGCAGGAGCCCCAATCGACTTCAGCGCCTTTCCACTTCATGTTCCTGATTGCCGACTTGCTTCTTCTGACCGATGGGTACTCCAGATTTCGTAATAAAAGGGAGGGGGTCACAGCCCTCCCAGTCGCGAAGTTTTAGACCCCCCAGGCCATCCATGCAGGGGCGGCCCTTTGCCCAGACCCCCCCGAACCCTGCAAGACAGCTCAAATCAGACCCCCCCCAAATGTGACCCCCCCACACTTTATTATGGACTCCGGAGTAGATGGTTTGACGATTATGCCCTCGGGGGCCTTCCGGGGCCCCCAATCCTGAGCACCAGAGCGAGGGTGAGCAGGAGCAGGAGGGCGCAAGAGGAGGGAAGGAGATGCATGAGGGAGTGAGGCAGTGATGAAGGAGGGCGGGATGGAGGGAGGGATGAGGAGGGATTGAGATGGGAGGCATGAACGAGGGAGGAGGAGATGGGAAACGCCAGAAGTCAGGAGAGCGGAGTGAAACGGAGTGCAGTAGTATGGAGAGAGGGGAGATGAGGGTACATTCTGGCATTTCTCGTCCCCTCCTGCTCCTCTTACTCCACGTCGTCGTCGTCACCCGCTTCTCCTCGGCCGCGACAGGGCCATGGGGGAACCCATGTCGCTGAACTTCCACGTGTTTGAGACCGTTGTTCTCCTGCTCTCCGTCCTGGTTGCCCGGGAAGCCCCAGAAGGGGGCACAGAGGAGGTTGTGGCGAGGCTCCTGGAAAGGCGGGGCGTGGGGGGAGGGAGAGGGAAGGGGTGGGGGAGGGGGAGGGGGGAAGAGGGACAGGGAGGGGGACGGGGGGAGGGGGCAAAAAGGGGGAGGCGCGGGGAGGGGAAGGGGGATAGGGGGGATGGCAAGCTAGGTGCGCTCGCGTCATATCTGACATCCTACCCCTCCCTCCCATCCCTTACCATGGCGCAGATCCCCTCTCTACTCGCACAGTCGGATGTCAAGCAGGGCGATGATCCCGAAAGGGTACGCGATGCATTGTAGAGCACGGCATGGCATGGCGTAGAAGAGCACCGCGAAGCGTAGTATCAACCTGGCATTGCATTGCGTGCCGTGGCATGGCACGGGAAATGACGCCAGCGCTGCAGCGGGAGCACGAGTCGAAACGAGCGGAAGCGTGGAAATGAAGCCAGCGCTGCAGCGGGAGCACGAGTCGAAACGGGCGGAAGCACGGAAATGAGGCCAGCGTTGCAGCGGGAACACGATCCGGAACGAGCGGAAGCACGGAAATGATGCCAGCGCTGCAGCGAGAGCACGATTCGGAACGAGCGGGGCCGGAAAATGAGGCTGGCCCTTCAGCGAGAGCAGCATTTTCGGACAAATTGCAGGCGAAAGCCTAATTCCAGGGAGGGCTTCCCGGGCGCCAGAAACATAACTTCAGTATTTCCAAGAGAAAATTGTATTGGAATGGCCTTTTTTCGGCGCTGCCTCGGAAATCGATTTTCCCGCGCCGGCCGGAAAAGGCTCCGGACCCGGCCCACTTCATGACTCATGGCGATTAGCGGACATATAAAATGAGTAGTCGGTATTTTCGAAGTCATCTATAAGTCCTTGTACAAGCCCCTTGGTAAGTTACGCACAAGTGCTTTGATAAATTCATAAGTTGCGCGCCGATTTGGGGGGGTCTTTAGCTCAAACTAAGTGTTTGTAAATATTTGTGGCATTCTTTCGAATTCCACGCTGGCCGTCTGCATGCTGTCTGCGTAGGTTTTCGGCTCCATGGAGCCACCTCCCAAGAAACACAAGATTTTGATAGGGGTTCAAGCGGAAGGGCTTTCCGTGTCATGTCGGGCCGTGGTTCGGGCATTGGCAGGGATTTCTGAAGAGGACCCAAGGGATATCTGCCGCAATGCCGCGAGGAGCTTGAAGGCCCACGTGGACAGCATCGGCACGCCCTATGGGCGCATCATACACTGGGCAGATATTCCGAACGAGGACGGTTGCATTCCGCGATGGCCTTATATTCACCCGAGCGCCCTTCTGTACCATCTTTGCCAGGGGTCTAGCCCTTTCGCCCGATTTATTGCTGAGCACCTGCACAATAAACGTGGGAATGTGATCTTGTGGGGCGATGAATGCACCACAGGAAATCAACTTCGACCCGACAATGTCGGCAAATTCTTAGCAATCTACTGGACCATGTCCAATTTCCCCGAGTCTTTCCGCTCAGCTGATGAAGGATGGATGCCGTTTGGAATATTAGAGTACGACTTGTTAAAGCCCGTGCGAGGACAGTACGGGGGCTTGCTTAAGCACGTTTTAAAAATTATGTTCACGGACGTGGGCAGCTTCACATTCGGCGTTCGCGTCCCCAACGGCGCTGTGGAACCAGGCGAGGCGTTCATCCGCGCATTTTTCCTGACATTCATACAAGACGAAAAAGCACATAAAGAGGCGAAAAGTTTAAAGGGCGCAAGTGGATGCCACTGCTGCGGCAGATGTAAGAACATCAGCTAGTTTCTGCCATCCGCCAGCCCCGCCCCCCTGGCCGATACCGATTGCAACCGAACCCGCGTGTTCTATCACGTCGCAGGGCCGTTCCCCACGGGTTCGCATGGCCTGGCGCCTGGTTGGATTGAACTGGGCTGCGGATTTACAGCGGCGATGTTCGGAACACAGCGCGGAGCGAGTCTGTATTGCATTTTGCCCATGCCCGGCCGCGCTCGTTCGACCTGCACGACGACGACAGCATGTGGGAAGTTATCGATACATTAGAAGCCAACGCTGGGGCGCTATCGAAGGGTAGGTTTGAAGATTTGCAAAAACAGCCTGGTGTGAACTATCAACCTGGGTCCCTGGCATGCGACAGGTCGCTACGACCGTTTTGCAAACCAGTTGACAACTTTTTTCGATTGGATGCATTGCATCGCCGCGTCGGGTGGCATTGCCCAATACAATCTAAACGCCCTTGTCCTGCGGCTGGAGCGCCCTCCTGTGAACATTAAAGGGGCCGCGCTTGATGATTTTGCATCTGCGTTCGCAGACGGCAACGGCGGCTTTCGATTTCGCCGATTGCCCAAACAGTGTTTCACGAAACGCATTGTTTGGAACCCTCTCGCCCACATCAGGTGCTTCGCCGCGGAAGCGTTAGCAGCAGTTACGGTGATGTGTTATTCGTCGGCTGATCGCTGCCCCCCGCATCCGCCGCGCATCGCTCGCGCGCCCCCCAGGGCAACCCCCGCCCCTCCTTCCCCCGCCCTCAGCGTCCGCGGTTTGATCCGCCATGCTTCCCGCGTCGGCGGGCGGGCGTATTTCTGCCGCGCTGTCCTGGACCCGAGGGGGCTTTTGAACGACCATTCCCAGCGCATGCAGACTCTAGGCATCATCTGCAACATTCTGACCCTCGGGGATGCCGCGTCGAACCACGCAGACAGGCTGGAGCCACTGCTAGAACAGCATCACATGCAAATGGCTGTTCTGCACGGTGCGGACATTCTCGTCGTCAAAAACCATTTGGTTTATCACGTGCCCCAGTCGATCCGCGAGTTGGGGTTGAACCTTTCGCGTTTCTCCAACGAGCGACGAAATCGATTGATGAAAGCAGCTTGCAAGCATTACTTTCGACAGAAAGGCTCAGAGGATGCAATAGAAGTCAGGCTTGTCCTCGAATTAGAGGCGCGCGTGAAAACCGCACGTTTGGCCCCCGTCGCTCTCGTCGGGAAGGTGTCGGAAGAACCGGGCTTCCGAGATTTGTTCCCGATCCCCCCGTCGCAGGTATTCATTGGCAAACGGTTGAACTGGGCACGTGGCACCTTGCACGTTGGGGATGTGATTTCAGTGGCAGACTCAGGTCCGTTCCGCGCGATGCGATGCTCTTGTTTCGTAGACGCTCGTGCTGCAGACCGCCCAGCGTCGCCGAATTGTTTCGTGCTGTCCCAGGTCTGCGTTCGGGTGCATGGCGCGGAATTGTGGGAGGCAGTCGATCAGTTTGAATTTACGCTTGTTGATGATACGATTGGCGCCCACGTCGCTGTGGTGGACGGTGCACGTTTCACCCCCTTGATAAGGGAGCTGTGAGGTGCATTAGCCAGTGCACTAGTTACGCCTTAGGCAAAAGTACGCGAGCTCACCACGTCGCACATGCACGGAACGCAGCCGAACTAGGGCACCACTTATTGCATAGCACACACTTTTAATCACACCCATCGCACATCGGTCCTCGTCGCCGGAGGGTTCCTTTCCATTCATGACCCTGGCAGCTCCTCAACTTGGCGCCGCGCGCATTTTTTGCAAGTCTGCCGCAGTCGCTCGCGCGGGGGGGGGGAGCTACCCCCTCCCCGCCCGCAAGCCGTCTCGCTCGCTCCCAGCCGCCCTCCCAACGCATACGTAGCACCCGAGTCTGGCCCGAGCCGCAGCACATTCAGAATGAAGCTCTCGCCTTAGCGCCGCTTGCGAAGACGTCGCCATATTTCTGAGCGCGTCGTCGCCGTCGCAGTGGCTTCGCCCTGCCGTCGTCCTCTTCTTCGCGCAGTGGTTTCGCCCTGCCGTCTTTCCGAGGTGGCCCTCTCTTTAACCATGCGTTCCCTTTGCCATCCCCAGCTCTCCATGCCCCTCCGTGTGTCTCTCTCGCTCTCTCTCTCTCTCTCTCTCTCTCTCTCTCTCTCTCTCTCTCTCTCTCTCTCTCTCTCTCTCTCTCTCTCTCTTTATTTTTCTCTCTCTCTCTCTCTCTCTCTCTCTCTCTCTCTCTCTCTCTCTCTCTCTCTCTCTAGTCTCGGCTCGAGCTCGAGAGTGCCCTGCACTCATAGCGTAGCCGCGACGCGAAGCGCCCCGCTCTGGAGTCCCGACTCCAGGCCTCGCGAGACCGGAACCGCGCCAGCAGCGCGGTACTGATTTGCGTCTCCTCACTTCCTCAGTGCGACCGCCGCCATGGCCCCCCTGTCTGCGCCAGGCCGCCACCGCACTTTCACGTCTCACCATGCTGTACTACCTGAGCTGCCTGGCCATGTTACTGAACATAGGCACCAGGACCTTGTCTTCCGCGTGCCCGTCCTGCACGGGCGCGACCTCCCAGTGCCACCTGGACACGCCCCACACGTGCCGCGTGCGGATCTTCACGAAGATCTACGTATACTCGGGCACGACGTGTTCCACCTGCGCGCCGAGCTGCGCGCCTACCGAGCCGACCTCCGCGCTCACCTACCAGGCACCGACGCCAACACAGACGACTCCGTCCAGCACCTGCTCACCTCGGTACGGCCAGGTATCCAGGGGGGGGTCGGGCTCCCGACTGCTGAGGGTGACGGTGCTGAGTGCGGTCGGGCTGTTCCCACGCCTGCCGTCGTCGCGCCGTGCGTGACAAGCAGTCGGCCCCCAACCTCCCCCCGAGAGCGCTCCCGCGGCACCGCAGGCACCGCTCTCAACTTCATCGGCATTATCTTGCTGAACTTCGGGTACGGCCTCGGCTCCACCTTCGGCATCGCTCTCGGCACCGTCGGTGCGGTCTTGCGTACCATCGGCAAGGGCACCAGGAGCGTCGTCAAGCACATCGTCGACTCCGCCGGCACGGCGGGCCCAGCCCGCCCCACAAGGGCCGTCAAGGTCGGCTACGCGTTCTTCGGCGTCCTCGGCTCCGCCTGCGGCTTCAAGGGCACGGCGGGCCTGGCCCGCCCCAAACGGGCCACCATCTCGG